ACAATTAAAACAACTGATTGGCTACATTTTACGTCTATGTATATTATGTAGATAGTAGAATTTTAACTCATAAATACTAAACCTAGGTCTTTTCATGTGTTTGTGGTTGCTTTACATGATAACATGTCACGTGTCCTGTTCACGTGACACTTTAAAAATCAGCGAAAAGGTTGTATAGATACAATGTTTAATGAAACAAAAGGCAAAAAACGATTACGTATATATAAGTACATAGTTTAGTCCTTACTCAGTGTCTACTCGACGCTGCTTGGCTTGTCTCTTGTATTCATTAAAAGGAGCATCTCGTGCCACTGTCCAGCAATTGTCTGCGAGCATTGACGGGCTCCATTTGCCCTGACAGCGGTTTCTCCATCGTCGCAATGTCCTGGTGACATCGCTCGGCATGCTCGTCGCTCACTGCTCTGCAGTTGGGTGGGAAAACATCGAGATTAGAGTGCAAAAAATGTTTATTTAGTGGCATGTTGCAACCAAGGCTTTTGTATGCCTTGAGGACGTTTCCCACCAACTGCCTGTAGTTGTCTGTTTTGTTGTTCTTTCCGAGAAAATGTGTTGCCACTAACTGGAAGGCTTTCCATGCCGTCTTTTCCTTGCCACGCAGCGCACCGTCAAATGCATAATCTCGAAGAAGTTCACGAATCTGAGGACCAACAGGGACACCTTCCTTTATCTTAGCCTTGGAAATTTTCCATCGAAATACTTGAAAGCTGCTTATGTTTTGTCCATGACGTTGACAAAGTTCTTCATCAGATCCAGCTTGATGTGTAAGAGTGGTAACAAAATCTTCCTTGATTCAATAAGTGGTGGATGCTGAACACGTTTTCTCCCAGGCTCCATTGACTGTCGGAGTGGCCAATCTATCTTGATGTAGTGGGAATCTCTCGCACGACTATCCCATCCGCAGAGAAAACAGCAGCAGTACTTTGTGTGTCCAGTCTGCAGACCAAGCAAGAGAGAAACAACCTTCAAATTGCCACAAAGCTGCCACTGATGTTGGTCATATTTTCTGCACCCCAAAAGTTGTTTCATGTTGTCATAGGCTTCCTTCATATCGACTGCATGACCAACTGGAATTGATGGCAAAACATTGCCATTATGCAGCAAAACAGCTTTAAGACTCATCTTCGATGAATCAATGAACAGTCTCCACTCATCTGGATCATGAACGATGTTGAGGGATACCATCACACCATCGATGTTGTTGCAGGCTACGAGATCACATTCCATGAAGAAGAATGGGATAGGATCTTTTTGACGGTCACAGAACATGGAAACCCTAACATCACCTGCCAGGAGATTCTACTGCTGCAGTCTGGAGCCCAACAGCTCTGCCTTACTCTTGGGTAGTTCCAAATCCCTGACAAGGTCTTTCAGTTCACCTTGTGTTATAAGGTGTGGTTCAGAGGAGGAGGATGGGAGAAAACCTGGGTCATGTGACCTTGATGGTTTAGGACCAGAAGTTTAATCCTCTTCCTCGTCTGACTCAATTGAGAATGATTCTGGTGCATCAGGAACCGGCAGTCCTTCTCTGTGGGGTACTGGGCGTATAGCTGATGGAATTTTTGGATAATGCACAGTCCATGCTGAAGTAACAATTGCTGATATGATCTGTTGGCTCTCTCCAAATCATTGTCACTGCAAAAGGCATATATTTCTTTTACCTGTTCAACCATTCGCGAAGATTTGTTGCACAAGTGTTGCAGCATATGTGTGGGGCCCACATCTTGTCCTGATCTCCAATTTTGCAGCCAAAATAAAGGTGATAGGATTTCTTAACCATAGTGGTTATACTGTGCTTTTGTGATACGAATGTTACTTCACTACAAACATAGCAGAAGTTATCTACTTTGTTCAGACAAGTACAAGGCATCTCTGCTCACATTGGCAAAGCAGAAATGTGTCCATTTGCAAAATCAAACACTAACAAATAAGAGAGCACGACACTGCATGAATTCTAGAGCTGATATAGGGCAATTTGGTTAGCAGAGGGATGTCAGCCTAGTTAATATTGCATAATCCATTGACTTTTAGGAATAACATGATGCAACTCATATCATGTATGATGCAATACCAGGTTCAGATTTCATCCTTAATGTTTTGCTCAAAAAGCAAGTACTGTCCAAACCCAGTCATTGATTTATTCATAGATCCAGTAAAATATGTATTTTAGTCATTTCTGGTTCAAATTGAGACCCCTTCCCTTTGCAACTCACTTATCATCCACCATTCCCAAGTCAAGGGTCGTATATACTGACCCAGTAGCATAGCTTGAAAACGAGAGCCAATCAACAAGTTTAAGCATCATTCTCAGTGACCCAGAATTAGAAAAGTTGGACGACATTTATTTCGGAAGCATTTAGGCTGCAGACCAGTGTAATTATTTGGGTAGTTTTTTCTTACAGCCATGAAAGTGTTCACACTTAGAGTATATATCAAGTTTTCATGTATAATGAATAAGTAGACATGCATATTAATGCATGTATAGTGAACACAATCAAAATATCAGGTCGAGTTACAAGATAGACATTGTTGTTTAATCTCTGCTGCAAGTAATTAGTGATTTTGTTTGTATCAAGACATATAATATACGTTTATGCATATTTAGTCTCCACAAAACACACACACTTCGCATAATGATCTATTGTCTGTTTTCAAGGCCACATAGAAACGTTGAAGCGCAGACGACACAAGCCAGCCCCAGTGTCGTCTGCGCTCCTGAACTCTCAACTCACGAGGCACTCGTCGTGGCAGCCAATTGGCTCCTAAACGTATCGCTGTCACACGCAAGAATAGCTTTGCATTAAAAAAATTAATAATTACTTAAGCCCTGCGTTAATCCGCTGGTGAAGCTGGGAGCTGTCAGGACCGGTTCTGATGATCAACTCGCCACTGATGTTAGCCGCGGCTGAGAAGCTCACGTCCACAGCACAGTCCGCTAACCCAGCACTGTCGGCGTTCATAGACACGATTGCTACCAATTTGCGGTCATCAATAGTGGTTACAAGATGGACGTAATGGCTTCCGCCATGCCAACGTGGAATTTCCACCAGAGATGAGAACCGCCCAAGGCTCGTTTGAGTATGCAAGCATCATGCACAAAGTACTGTACTCTATACACACATGCCTATACACTACTAAACTCTATACAAACATACCTATACATTACTAAACTCTATACACACATACCTATACACTACTAAACTCTATATACACATGCCTATACATTACTAAACTCTATACACACATGCCTATACACTACTAAACTCTATACACTACTAAACTCTATACACACATGTCTATACACGACTAAACTGTATACACTACTAAACTCTATACACACATGCCTATACACTACTAAACTCTATACACACATACCTCTACACTACTAAACTCTATACACATGGCTATGCACTACTAAACTCTATGCACACATGCCTATACACTACTAAACTCTATACACTACTAAACTCTATACACACATACCTATACATTACTAAACTCTATACACACATGCCTATACACTACTACACTCTATACACTACTAAACTCTATACACACATACCTATACACTACTAAACTCTATACACTACTAAACTCTATACACATACCTATACATTACTAAACTCTATACACTACTAAACTCTATACACACATGCCTCTACACGACTAAACTCTATACACACAGTCATGCTATACATAACGCAGAGGACACTTCGTTGATACGAAACAAACTCAACACAATCGTCAATAACTGCGGCCTTAAAAAAGGAAATGTATTGTGTACATGATAGACGACGTTTCAAGCGATGACCCTTCACAGCAAATGCCCCGCTCATTCCCTCACCCCGCTCATTCCCTCACCCCGCTCATTCACTCACCCCGCTCATTCACTCACCCCGCTCATTCACTCTCCCCACTCACCCCACTCATTCACTCTCCCCACTCATTCACTCTCCCCACTCAATCACTCACCCCACTCATTCACTCACCCCACTCATTCACTCTCCCCACTCATTCCCTCACCTCACTCACCCCACCAATTCCCTCACCCCACTCATTCATTCACCCCACTCAATCACTCACCCCACTCATTCCCTCACCCCACTCATTCACTCACCTCACTCACCCCACTCATTCACTCACCCCACCAATTCACTCACCCCACCAATTCACTCACCCCACTCATTCCCTCACCGCACTCATTCACTCACCTCACTCACCCCACTCATTCACTCACCCCACTCATTCACTCACCCCACTCACCCCACTAATTCACTCTCCGCACTCATTCACTCACCCCACTCACCGCACTCATTCACTCACCGCACTCATTCACTCACCGCACTCATTCACTCACCGCACTCATTCACTCACCCCACTCATTCACTCACCCCACTCACCCCACTCACCGCACTCATTCACTCACCCCACTAATTCACTATCCGCACTCATTCACTCACCCCACTCACCCCACTAATTCACTCACCCCACTCACCCCACTCATTCACTCACCCCACTCATTCACTCACCCCACTCATTCACTCACCGCACGCATTCACTCACCCCACTCATTCACTCACCCCACTCACCCCACTAATTCACTCTCCGCACTCATTCACTCACCCCACTCACCGCACTCATTCACTCACCGCACTCATTCACTCACCGCACTCATTCACTCACCGCACTCATTCACTCACCCCACTCATTCACTCACCCCACTCACCGCACTCATTCACTCACCCCACTAATTCACTATCCGCACTCATTCACTCACCCCACTCACCCCACTAATTCACTCACCCCACTCACCCCACTAATTCACTCACCCCACTCATTCACTCACCCCACTGATTCACTCACCCCACTCATTCACTCACCCCACTCATTCACTCACCCCACTCATTCACTCACCCCACTCATTCATTCACCCCACTCATTCACTCACCCCACTCATTCACTCACCCCACTCATTCACTCACCCCACTCGGTGCCCTTGAACGCGGCTCACATGGCAGCAGTCGTGCGGGGAGAGCCCCACGGCTCAGCGACTTTCATCCGCGCACGCAGCTCGACTCCAGCACGGGCACCATCCCGCGTCCGTCCGTCGGTTGAGCAACAGGCACCGCCGCCGAGTCAATAACGCAGGGCGCACGATCATCGTCTCACTCACCCCACGGGCGAATGGGTGAGTGGGGTGGGGAGGGTGGCGGTGTAAGTGGAGAGAGAGAGAGAGGTGGGGAGTTGTGGGGATGTGGCCACGAACGCCTCCAGGTGTCCCGGCCACAGAGGCGCGCCCCAAATACAGCACGCGCCTACGTCATGCGTAGAGAAAGTTCTGCTCATGTGGTGGTCGAGGTGGTGGTGGTGGTGGTGGTCGAGGTGGTGGTGGTGGTCGAGGTGGTGGTGGTGGTGGTCGAGGTGGTGGTCGAGGTGGTGGTAGTTGAGGTGGTGGTGGTCGAGGTGGTGGTGGTCGAGGTGATGGTGGTCGAGGTGGTGGTGGTGGTGGTGGTCGAGGTGGTGGTCGAGGTGGTGGTCGTGATGGTGGTGGTGGTGGTGGTGGTCGAGGTGGTGGTGGTGGTGGTGGTCGAGGTGGTGGTGGTCGAGGTGGTGGTGGTCGAGATGGTCGTGGTGGTCGTGGCTTGAAGATTCTTGCTCGGCTGCCTCTCGCCGACAATCCTTATCCTGTCTGCGTGTGCTGTGAATCAGAGGGGGCCGAGACAGACAGTCCTTCGTTTTGAGTCATTCGTCATTATCAGCAGTAGCAGCACTCATTCACTCACCCACGCATTCACTCCTCACCCACTCATTCACTCACCCCACTCATTCACTCACCCACGCATTCACTCCTCACCCACTCATTCATTCACCCCACTCATTCACTCACCCCACTCATTCACTCACCCACGCATTCACTCCTCACCCACTCATTCACTCACCCCACTCATTCACTCACCCCACGCATTCACTCCTCACCCACTCATTCACTCTCCCCACTCATTCACTCACCCCACTAATTCACTCACCCCCCTCATTCATTCACCCCACTCATTCACTCCTCACCTACTCATTCAATCTCCCCACTCATTCACTCACCCCACTAATTCACTCACCCCCACTCATTCATTCACCCCACTCATTCACTCCTCACCCACTCATTCACTCTCCCCACTCATTCACTCTCCCCACTCATTCACTCACGCCACTCATTCACTCTCCCTACTCATTCACTCACTCCACTAATTCACTCTCCCAACTCATTCACTCTCCCGACTCATTCACTCTCCCCACTCATTCACTCACCCCACTCATTAACTCACGCCACTCATTCACTCTCCCCACTCATTCACTCTCCCCACTCATTCACTCTCCCGACTCATTCACTCTCCCCACTCATTCACTCTCCCCACTCATTCACTCTCCCCACTCATTCACTCTCCCGACTCATTCACTCTCCCCACTCATTCACTCACCCCACTCATTCACTCACCCTACGCATTCACTCCTCACCCACTCATTCACTCTCCCCACTCATTCACTCACCCCACTCATTCACTCACCCCACTCATTCACTCTCCCCACTCATTCACTCTCCCCACTCATTCACTCTCCCCACTCATTCACTCTCCCGACTCATTCACTCTCCCCACTCATTCACTCTCCCCACTCATTCACTCTCCCCACTCATTCACTCACCCCACTCATTCACTCTCCCCACTCATTCACTCACGCCACTCATTCACTCTCCCCACTCATTCACTCTCCCCACTCATTCACTCTCCCGACTCATTCACTCTCCCCACTCATTCACTCACCCCACTCATTCACTCACCTCACGCATTCACTCCTCACCCACTCATTCACTCTCCCCACTCATTCACTCTCCCCACTCATTCACTCACCCCACTCATTCACCCACCCCACTCATTCACTCTCCCCACTCATTTACTCTCCCGACTCATTCATTCTCCCCACTCATTCACTCACCCCACTCATTCACTCACCCCACGCATTCACTCCTCACCCACTCATTCACTCTCCCTACTCATTCACTCACCCCACTCATTCACCCACCCCACTCATTCACTCTCCCCACTCATTCACTCTCCCGACTCATTCATTCTCCCCACTCATTCACTCACCCCACTCATTCACTCACCCCACGCATTCACTCCTCACCCACTCATTCACTCTCCCCACTCATTCACTCTCCCGACTCATTCACTCTCCCCACTCATTCACTCACCCCACTCATTCACTCACCCCACGCATTCACTCCTCACCTACTCATTAACTCTCCCCACTCATTCACTCACCCCACTCATTCACTCACCCCACTCATTCACTCTCCCCACTCATTCACTCTCCCGACTCATTCACTCTCCCCACTCATTCACTCTCCCCACTCATTCACTCTCCCCACTCATTCACTCACCCCACTCATTCACTCTCCCCACTCATTCACTCTCCCCACTCATTCACTCTCCCGACTCATTCACTCTCCCCACTCATTCACTCTCCCCACTCATTCACTCTCCCCACTCACTCACTCACCCCACTCATTCACTCTCCCCACTCATTCACTCTCCCGACTCATTCACTCTCCCCACTCATTCACTCACCCCACTCATTCAATAACCCCACGCATTCACTCCTCACCCACTCATTCACTCTCCCACTCATTCACTCTCCCCACTCATTCACCCACCCCACTCATTCACCCACCCCACTCATTCACTCTCCCCACTCATTCACTCTCCCGACTCATTCATTCTCCCCACTCATTCACTCACCCCACTCATTCACTCACCCCACGCATTCACTCCTCACCCACTCATTCACTCTCCCCACTCATTCACTCTCCCCACTCATTCACTCACCCCACTCATTCACCCACCCCACTCATTCACTCTCCCCACTCATTCACTCTCCCGACTCATTCATTCTCCCCACTCATTCACTCACCCCACTCATTCACTCACCCCACGCATTCACTCCTCACCCACTCATTCACTCTCCCCACTCATTCACTCTCCCGACTCATTCACTCTCCCCACTCATTCACTCTCCCCACTCATTCACTCACCCCACTCATTCACTCACCCCACGCATTCACTCCTCACCGACTCATTCACTCACCCCACTCATTCACTCTCCCCACTCATTCACTCACCCCACTCATTCACTCTCCCCACTCATTCACTCTCCCGACTCATTCACTCTCCCCACTCATTCACTCACCCCACTCATTCACTCTCCCCACTCATTCACTCACGCCACTCATTCACTCTCCCCACTCATTCACTCTCCCCACTCATTCACTCTCCCGACTCATTCACTCTCCCCACTCATTCACTCACCCCACTCATTCACTCACCCCACGCATTCACTCCTCACCCACTCATTCACTCTCCCCACTCCTTCACTCACCCCACTCATTCACTCACCCCACTCATTCACTCTCCCCACTCATTCACTCTCCCAACTCATTCACTCTCCCCACTCATTCACTCTCCCCACTCATTCACTCTCCCCACTCATTCACTCACCCCACTCATTCACTCTCCCCACTCATTCACTCTCCCCACTCATTCACTCTCCCGACTCATTCACTCTCCCCACTCATTCACTCTCCCCACTCATTCACTCACGCCACTCATTCACTCTCCCCACTCATTCACTCTCCCCACTCATTCACTCTCCCGACTCATTCACTCTCCCCACTGATTCACTCACCCCACTCATTCACTCACCCCACGCATTCACTCCTCACCCACTCATTCACTCTCCCCACTCATTCACTCTCCCCACTCATTCACTCACCCCACTCATTCACCCACCCCACTCATTCACTCTCCCCACTCATTCACTCTCCCGACTCATTCATTCTCCCCACTCATTCACTCACCCCACTCATTCACTCACCCCACGCATTCACTCCTCACCCACTCATTCACTCTCCCCACTCATTCACTCTCCCCACTCATTCACTCTCCCCACTGATTCACTCACCCCACTCATTCACTCATTGGGTTGCCCTCAGTCTGTTTGTAGAAAGTTCCATTCCAGGTGAAGTATGTGTTGGTTAAGCAATGTCTCACCAGAGGGGGTACATCAGTATGCAGTCCTTGATGAACCAGGTCTTCAATGATAGCGATGGTGTCAGGTACCGGAACTTTGGTGAATAAGGCAACCACATCAAAACTGACAAGCAGGTCGTCTGGGGACAGGGAAGACTCTATACCATAGAGCCCAATGCATTTCCGACCAGGAACACATTGCCAGTGAACTCAAGCACGTACACCAGGCTCTCAGGGCTAATGGTTACTCCGACTACACAATCCGCAAAGCCATCACTCCAGTCATGAAGAAGGATCCTCTTGAGCAGCCACTAAAAACCATCACCTTACCCTACATTGCAGGGGTCACTAAAAAAGATCTCCAAAATCCTGAATAAACTCAAGATCCAGGTCCGATTCAACACAGTACATAAAATCCGTGATCTGGTTCCATTTTTAAAAGATGCTGTTCCAGACATACAGTACCCCGGCGTTTACAAACTAAAGTGCCTCTGTGGTAGCAGCTACATTGGAGAAACCAAACGACATATCTCGGACCGCATCCGCGAACATAAAGCAGACTTGAAACACGGTAGGACGAACTCCTCTGCCGTGGCAGATCACCGTTATAATTCAGTGGGCTCACATGACATTGACTACTCCAAGACGGAGGTTCTTTGCAAGCCAACCGGCTACCATGAGAGATTCGTTCATGAGGTTATCCACAAACACAAGCACAGAGACAATTTCAACCGAGAAGATGGATTCTGGCTTAGTAACCATTGGAAAGATGTTTTAAACCATTTCCGTTCTTAATTAATTGTATTTTACGATGACCTTCAGGCCGCAGCTCTTTCGCTGGCATTGCCTCTTACCTCTCACACCACGGTTAATGGCATGGTTTATAACATGGAGTATAACAGCGCCTGGCAGCTGTCTCTCTCCCCCCTCCTCCGTTCCGAGCATGGATGGACTCGTCCGTCTGAACGGGGCTCGTCGCTGTCCGTGGTGCTGACGTTGAGGGGAAGAAACCGCCACCCATTTTTTCGCCATATGGCATTGTGATATATAACCACTTATTGTTGGTGGCTCAGCTGATTGGAGAGTATATAGAGTTTATTGATAACATTGAGGTAGTTTATATTTTAGTTTTTTATTGGTTTACTATATGGTATTCATCTTCTTTGGTTCTTTCGGTAAAGTAACGTAGAATGAGAATAAAATAATAAAATAAAACAATAAAATTCTCACGACGTTTCGGCCACAACACAAGTGGCCTTCTTCAGGTGAAAGGAACAG